GACGTCCGAAGCTCACGGTGTTGGGATTGCTCTGAGCGTCAAGTCCGAGTGTTCACTTCTCGATTGGATCCCCGTTAACAGCCGACTTTGCGCCGTACGTCTGGATGGTTCAGTACAAGTCAACAGCTACAGAACGAAGCGTCGATGTTTATCCATCGTATCCGCGTATGCAACGACAGATTGCAGTTCGCCAGAAGTGAATGATGAATTCTACAAGGACCTCTCTCAACTGCGCCGGAGTGCTCGGTCAACAGACATCGTGGTGGTCGCTGGAGACTTCAATGCTCAATTGGGATCCCTGGACGAATCAGAGAAGCTACTTGGAGGTTCACATGCAATCCCAGCCAGCAGGACTGACAACGGAGAACGCCTACTCCAACTTTNACCACGGACTGTTTCTGTCAAGCACGAACTTCTCGCACAAAAAACGCCACTGTCTTACATGGAGACCACCAACCGCTTCACAGCGCTGGACTCAAATCGACCGCATTGTCATCAGCCACCGCTGGCGAGGATTCATTGAAGACCACCTCTCGTACTGGTCAACAACAGTGGACACGGACCATGCTCTGCTACGAGCGAGATTCTCTCTACGCCTAGTAAACAAACGCAGAAAACCCACTGAAAACGAATGCCCAAGATACAATATCAACAATGGTTGCAAATCGGCCTTCGAAGCGGAACTATCAGATCGTCTCTCAGCACATCCATCAACCGGAGGACTCAGTGAGCATTGGACGGTAATCAAGGCAGCGATCAAAATGTCAATCGAAACAACAGCAAATTCTGACACATGATCAAATAGAAAGCGATGGATCTCTCTGTCTTGGATTGCCCTGATGGACGCTTGCAAAGCCATTCCTTCGGATTCAAACTATGACAAAGAGCGCAAATCTCGTAAGCGCCAGCTCATCAAGAGTCTGAGGAATGACCGCGAGAAATGGTGGGTAGGAAAGTGTAGAGAGATGGAGAAGGCTGCGACTATCGGTAGTAGTCGCAATCTTTTCCGATTAATTAGGGGTACATGTCGAAGGAGAGCAGGCGTAAGGGAGGTAATTAAGGAGTCCGACGGCACACTGATCCACATTCAGCAACGCCGTCTAGATCGATGGGCAGAACATTTTAAGACTCAGTTCAGCTGGCCCTCGTCAGTACAAGACCTCCATACACCCGATCCAACTGTGCAAATACTGTCAGCTGACATCAATCCCCCATCTGAAATAGAGGTTACCCGAGAAATAAGCTATCTCAAAAGGTATAGAGCTTCCGGCCCCGACGGGATTTCCCCATCGATTTTTAAGGATAGAGGTCTAGCCTTGGTTTTGGAGTTGACAAAACTGCTGGGAAAAGGAACAGGCTCCAACTGAATGGTGTGAATCGGTGATCATACCGATTTACAAGAAGGGCGACAGGTCCTCTTGTGAAAACCACAGAGGAATTATTTTGATCAACGTTGCTTCTAAACTTCTCGCCGGGATCATACTCCGTCGATTGTCTGCCGCTAGTGAAGAGTGCACACGTGAGAACCAGGCTGGCTTTAGACCTGGTCGAGGTTGTATCGACCACATCTTTACTCTTCGTCAAATCCTAGAACACAGACACTCTTTTCGTAGACCCGCCATTTCCATCTTACTCGACCTGAAAGCGGCTTTCGACTCAGTCGACCGCTCTAAACTCTGGCGCTGTCTTTCCCTGAAGGGTGTGCCCGAGAAGTTCATTTCAATATTACGATCCCTCTATAATAATAGTCGAAGCTGAGTCCGAGCTTACTGCACTTTTTCACCCGAGTTCACCACGGAAAGTGGTGTTTGACAGGGTAGCCCTCTCTCTCCATCTCTATTTAACTTTGTTATAGATTTAATTCTTGAAACATCTCTATCTTCGTGCGAGGATAGCGGCATCGATTTACTCCCAGGTAGCAGACTGTTTGATCTAGAGTATGCAGACGACAGTGTGCTACTAAGTGAAGATCCAGGTAAGTTGCCAGCTTTTCTGGATAGTTTGAGTGCTAGTGTAGCGATGTTCGGCACGCGCTTTGCACCTTCAGAGTGTAAAATGCTGCTCCAAGATTGGGTCGGTTCAGTCCCTAGCCTCACATTGTCGGGGAAGTTGCAGAGAAAGTAGACAAAGTTTGCTACCTGGGCAACTATATCTCACCTGGCAGACGCATCACAGATGAAGCATCGGCGCGCGTACAGAAAGCTCGGTTGGCATTTGTCAACTTGAGACATCTGTGGAGCCGTCGCGACATCCGGTTGTCTGTGAAGGGTCGAGTACATGCTGCAGCAGTTCGGCCAGTTCTGCCTTACGGCGCAGAGACTTGACCAAGAAACTTGGAACGGGATAAAAATAGACTGTCGGTGTTCGAACACAGCTGTCTACGTAGCATTGCACGAGTCTGGTGGGGTAACCGGAGGAGCAACGCTGAGGTTAGGTGTACAGTAATCGCAGTCGACCAGTGGAACAGGTAGTCGACCTCCATAGATTACGCTGGTTGGGACATGTACTACACATGCCACCAGATAGGTTGTCACGACGAGCGATGCTTGACGAAGCAGGCAGCGGTTGGAAAAAAACGAAGGGCGGTCAAGCTAAGACCTGGCATGAGGGTATGAAATCCCTGACCAGAAGACTGGCTCACATAGGTCCCGTTAGGCTCCCTGGCTGGGGACCCAGAGACCATAGTCACCGGTGGTTAGAGACACTGAGCGATATAACTGGGTGTCGCAAACAGTGATGCTCATGCACTTACTCATTATTCTAGTAGCTTCAGTCTATGAAAATGTGCTACTCTCCGCTTAAATCTGCTCTCAACATTCTAATGATCATTCTGCTGTTTTATCCAAATGGGCAACAAAAACCGGCGCACGAAAGTGCATGGTTAATGGCTGTAAGAACTGAACTGACCATAGGATTTACCAACACTGTTGATAGAAACACTTTACTTTACGGCGACCGACAGCTGGGAGAGGATGAGCCGGCTTCATGGATGCCCCGCATGGCAGCTTC